AAAATATATAAGAACTGATGTGTTTATTAATTATTCTGGAAGTATATTTATGAGGATGATCCTGGCTGTTACCCCAAACTGCTTCTGGTTGGTGCTTGAGAAAGAGGTTGGGAAGTAGGGAGTGGAAGGAGGAAGGTGGAGTGGTTGAGAGTCTAGAGGGAGGAAGGTTTGGTACGAGAAAGAGGGGGAAGCAGAGAGGAGGCAGCCGGGACCACCCGTAAAGTATCTTTGCTTTTGTGTATTGATGTTTTGTATTTATATGCGTCAAGTTTATGTTTATATTTTGTTATACTTGAAAATAATAAAAAAAAATTAAAAAAAAGAAATAATCAGGGAACAGTAATTTGCTATTTCTGGACTGTGAAAAGCGATTTGTTACCTTGGATACATATGAGGCACTAATAGTCCAATATTCTTTACTTGGTCTAGCCATATTTGCAGAGACTACTTGAAGATCATATGGATTGTAGGCTGCTTTGGGGTCATCCCTACTTCTTATAAGACAGTATATGTATTCTCCATCATCTTTGTTTAATGCATCATCCTGAAAACAGAAATCAGATGGTAAAATGTGAATTATTTATAAAAATTAAAATTGTTAATACTTAGACATCATAATTCATTTTGTTAAATTATATAGGACATAGTTGATGTACTTATTTAAGTTGAATTGATGTAAAATAGAATGTATTTTCACATTTTAAAGGTATCATTCAGAAAAATTGGAACAGATTCAAAGAAGGGCATTTAAAATGATCAGAAACTAGAAATCATGAAGTGAATTTAGAAGAAGTAAGTGTTTTTGCTTTGCAAAAAGATGATAGCAGTGTGTAATGGTACTATTCAACTACCTGAAAGTGCTCTGTTACAATTATGATTATATATAATGATTATTAAATAAAATGAATAAAAGATCAAGGAAACCATAAATTACTGTTAGATACCTAACTCTTATTTAGGAAACAGGAATGAATAACATTGTGGAAGCTTCTCTATCAATAATTTTAGAAAGTGTTTTCAAACATATCTTCTTATTCAGCTATCAGTAAAACAGAATAACAGAGTTGGAAGGGACCTTGGAGGTCTTATAGTCCAAGGGTCCCCAACCCCCGGTCTGTGGACCAGTACCGGGCTGCGGCATGCCAGCAACCGGGCCGCAAAAACAAGCACAGCCCCATCCGCAAGATGCAGGCAGCACACAAAACCACAATATATCTCTGTTAGTTAAATCAAACATCCTAATAAAACAAAACTAGACAGAGCCATCACAAGAGGACATAGCAATATATCACAATCAATGGTGCAATCAATGGGTGACCAAGGTCTGCCTAGTTTTACAGGCAGTAGATCAAAAACAAACTATCTTCAGAAACTGAAACATACTGACCTGACACTAAAAATACAATATGTATAGTCTAAAATTGGATAAAACACGTAATACAATCAATTTTAAAAGATTATTAAAAGGATCTAAAATGATTATGATTCTGGCAGATCTCCAATGCTGCAGCACAGAATCTGGCCACCTGCGCCGTGATCTCTGCCTGCTCATCCTTAAGCAGCCACTGGAAATAGATTCTTTCCAAATGACCAGGATATCTATTGATTATAGGGAGGATATGGTTTTTCCGAATGGCTCTGTAGAAGGAACATCGAAGGAGTATGTGTCCAATGGTCTCCACCTCTCCTGAGCCACAGGAGCAGAGTCTTTCAGACAGTGGTGTCTTTTTGTACTTGCTGTACAAGACGGCCAATGGAAATGCATGACACCATGGCAAGCGAGAATGCTTTCCGGTGGTTTACTGACTCCAACTGACTAAGATACCTGGCAGGTGTAACCACATATCTAATAGATGTCAGACGTCTTTCTTCGTCCATGTGAACAAATCCAGGAACGCAGGAACGAGTTGACAAGCAGCTTTATTCTGTGCAGTAATAAAGTCAGCACTGGGACTGATCTGCTCCCAGCGCTTACATAGCCCCACCCTGCAGCTCTGCCCCCAATCAGCAAGCCAGCATCCGGCCTTCAGAGGTAAAAGGCCGCATTCCAACGCCCAGCGTCCCCCCTGCTGTTCTGTGTGCCGACAGCTCCGGGCTTGACAATAGAGTCTGGAGCCAGAAACAGCGGAGCTACACCTAAGTCCGCTTGCCTCTCAATGTCCTCTACCCTTTGATGCAAGGTTTGTTTTGCTTGGTCATAGTCCAATTTGAGAACTGAGGCTGATGAAAAGCTTAGTTTGGCAAGGTTGGACTCAACTGCCTTGATCCACGAAGAGGAAAATTTATCTTGTAGAATTAATGGAGCAAGGCCTTGTGGAAAGCAATTAAGCCTTAGCCAGATGTTTAAGGAAGCTATACAAATTCTTGCTTCGACTTTTATCAATCCTGTCTCCAGGCGCAGAAGTGCATTAGGAACACAGCGAGGCATCTGGAGAATTGTTCTGATAAATTTGGATTGAACTCTTTCCAGTGGTGTAAAACACGAAGCTGAGGGTTCGAGCAAGGTCCAGTAGAGAAGCTGTGCTAGCGACTTGGGCAGAAAGAGCTTAATTGCAGCTGGAACATAGTGTCATCCCTTTGTGCAGAAAAATTTAAGAATGGCATTCGCTGATCGTTGGCCAGAGGCAGCCGCATATTCTCCATGGGCTTTTTGTGAGCCGGTGGCATGGATGACCACTCCAAGGTACTTAAAGGTGGTTACCTGCTCTATTTTGTGGCTATTTAAGTACCATGTGTACTGTTTTGGCCTTTTAGAAAAAGCCATAATAAATAAATCTTCAAAAACATAGCAAGGAGCAGACTAAAATTCCAGAATTCAGGTAACCAAGGAATGTGACATGACAATTTTTTTCTCAGCAATTATATACACAGTAAAAATATCTATAATCAGAATTTCGGTTTTGCGCCATAGCACACGGCCGAGGGATTGTGGAGCTCTGTACTCCATAGCTGGTTTTACCCTGCCAGGGGACCCTAAATGGGTCTAAGTCGCCCCAGAGGGGGGAAGGAGGCCCCCCCCCGTGGATCACAGAACAACAGCAGTTGATTCCTTTGATCCGGGGAAGCCCCCCAACCTGACAGGAGAAAAGCTAGCTGCATACCAGTGACTAGCTCAAGCTACCAGCTGCCAAAGTCCAAACACACTAACTAGAACAACCGTGAACAGCATGCTTGGAACTTGGGTGAGAATATTGATCTTCTCTCTTCTATTTTGTGACTGATTTTTTGGAAAAGATCCCTAAGAAGCAAAAAATCCTCCAAAAATGAGAAAGGAGGGGACCACACCCCCACCCTTCCATAGAAGGCAATAGTGACTTAATTTTTATGGGGGACAGAAAAATATTGAAATGAACTTAATAATACTACAGTCTGGATAAATCTGAAAATCATGAAAACTATTAAGACTTTATATCTGAAAGAGTATTGATGAAACCACAAGAAAATAACTTTTTGCTTTAAAAGTTGGAAAATGAATGGCTACTGACATCTAGTGGAGCATAGAGCAACAGCTGCATAGACACAGAAAGTGGCAAAACGCCCAGAAATAAAGAACAACTCTTCCGTTGAACCTCAGTGGCTTCTCCAAATAGAGAACAGCTGGGAACAGAGGAAAGAAAACACACTGGGCTACCTACATCAGAGTGAGAACGATATTTGTTTTAAAAAACGGCTGACCTTCTAGGATTATAAATATTTACTGATCTGTGATTTCTAAGCTCAAGAATTGTTTGCAGAGAAAGAAAAACCTGAACTTTTGGCTAATCTTCTAGGGGGAATTTACTGGAAAGCCTCTAGGTGGTTAAACATTCTGGACTCTAAATCTGACTGGCTGATAATTGTAAGACCCTCGAATAGAAGAACTATTATAAAATACTGCTTTTAACGGTGTTTTGATAATTGAAAACGCATTGGATTATAAAAACCATATATAAAGATAAAAATTATACAAGATTTGGTTGTTTGGACCTTAAGATTGGCTGGTCTGACAAGGCTAATTACAGAGACTATGGTACCGGTGAAAGACTATCTGGAGGGGGGAGACAAAATGGATGTTACATACTTATCAAAAAGTGGCAGGAAACCACACCTAATATCTCCTACTGAAGGCCCTAGCCTGGAACATCAAAGATCTGCAGGAACAATATTTCAAGACAAGGCAAATATTTTCCAGGAGAAAATGTATGCAATGCTGCAACAGATTCAAATGACAATGGTTTAAAATCTTGATGAGATTAAAAACAACTTTGACAACATAAATAAACACATCTTTAACTTAAACCTACAGTTTAAAAACTCTCAGAAAACAACAATAAAGAATGAACAAACAAACCAGATAATAGAATACAAACTAGGGGATAGGGACCCAAAGAGGGAAGCTACAAATGAAGAGAACCACAGTCTAATACAAACAAAAGAAAACTTGCAAGATCTTCCTACAACAATGGAAATGGGAAAGATATCCTATTTTTCAAAACTTCAAAATAAACTTGAAGATAGGAAAGAAGATTTAACAAAATGGATTATAGAACAGCCAGGATAATTATTAGCGTTTGGGAGACAAAAAATGTACATTCTACCTAACTTGTCTTTTCTATTCCCAACAACATTCACAAAAATACAGGAAGAATCCCCTGGCAAGCTGAATACACTGATTTGGAAAACTACTCCAAAAAAGAAGAAGGCTAGAATTAGATTCAAGAGATTTGACTCGACCTATCAGATGGAGTACTATATGATTAAACACTTAAAATAATAGATAAATCATGGATATAAAGGTCCCTACAGTAAGAGGGATAAAATATAAAAGTAGTGTAGTATTCTTTATAATATATGAAATATAAAAATATTGGGATGGTGTATATGAATGAAAAGTTTGGATATTTAAAGGCAGGGCTTTTTTTCTCATAGAACGCCCAGAACGGAGTTCCGGCACCTTTTTGGGATGGAACCTTGTAGGGTAGGCAAGGCGGGTTGTATGACGTGTGTGAGTTCCGGCACCTTTTTTTTTTTTTTTAAAGCACTGTTTAAAGGTAATTAACATTGAGAAAACTATGACTGATAAAAATGGTTTGAATATAGAGGGGAAACAAAGCTTAAATAAGAATCTTGCAAACAGGATATATAATGACAATAAGATGACTTTTATAAACATAACTGAAATATAAGCTGATCAGAAAAGAAGTTATATGCCGATGTTATTGTTATTTGCACAAACACACAAAAATATTTATATTCAACTTTGTATATATTGAAAGTATTAAGAACTATATTTGCTTAATGTTGATAAAAGGAGAATACTATTGGAAGAAGAGAAGATTAAAGAAATATATCATTAATTAACAGATTGATTATGGAATTACAGAAATTAATTATTACTGATTGTTTTTAAACATATGAACCCAGACAACATGCTGTTTACTAAGCACTAAAATTGCTATTGTTAAAAATCAATAAAAAAATTTTTTTAAAAAAATCTATAATCACCCTTTCTCTGCATTCACTCCTCCTTCCCACTAAACTAATTTCCTGAATTTGCAGATTAATATATCCAAATTTACAGTTCAATATATCCAAATGTTTCCCTATTATTAATGGTCATATCTGGAAACTCTGTAAGCTGTCCTGTAAGGTACTGCAAAATATTTCATCATGGAATATTCTGGAGTAAAAATGGACTATTCCAAATACAGAATAGATCTTTCTAGAGCCAAGGTTTTAAAACTCATTTAAACACAGGTACGGTGAGGGCAATACAAATCTTCACTAGTCTTCCAACATATGGTCTTCAGAAGCAGTTATACTGTCACCAAGGCTAATTGTTACTGAACCCCATTACTTCCATGAGTTGGCTCAACCCTTTTGTGAAACCAGCATACATATCACGATAGTGAATTCCAAAGTTTAATTACATGTTGGTTGAATGTGTGAGTAGATAGTCACATAGATAGATTTGCCTTCCTGTTCAAGCTCATCTTCTTCACATCCACATCTACAGATAACAATCTATAAACAAATATTCTTTTTGGTTTACATAGCTGCATAATAGCCTCATTAAAACAACACTTTCACTTCCTTTTATGATGCAGAAGTCTTTGAAGTTGATACACTGGGATTTTCATACCAACATCCACAGAATTGAAATTTACAAGGCTTTTGCCAAATGTAATTTCATCAGCTCTTGTGAGATGTAACCCATCTTATGCCAGCAGTCTATCAATGAGATAACAAAAGCCAAACTTTTTCATCAGTATCATTTCTAGAACTAATTTTTATCTGTAGTTTTCTGTTTTCTTTTTCCATTTTTTCTATAATCTGAAAGGACAGTTGAGTCCCTATATTTTTGAGGTTTCTTCCTAGAATTTTAAAGACTATGGTGATATATCTGTAGTTGCCTTTAATAATATTATTGTTACTACATATATTAGCAGACAGGTTCACTATTACTGGAATTGTTATGTTTTGAAAATTATATTATTAACTCCATAATTACTTTTCTCACATTTCATGTTCTGTACTTTCTGTACTTATTGAAAGTAAGTACCTATATTTTCTATTCTCCCAGTGAAAATGATCCACAAGTGGAGTTAGTTCCATAAATGATACTGATGAAAAAGTTTGGCTTTTAGTTATCTCATTGATGGACTGCTGGCATAAGATGGGTTATATTTCACGAGACTTGATGAAATTACATTGTTTTGCTTTCATATTTTGACCCATTCTAGCTATATTCCTTCTGTGCTTCAGGGATATTCTTGTCTCTTATTCAGCAATACTCCTTTCCCCTGAAGAATCAGAGCCTACTCCTGAATTAAGTGTTTTCAGAAAAAGCTTTTTTCTCTTTTTCAAATTAAAAAAACAATTTGTATACAACTTTATTATTTATTACTGGTAATGCGGGAGGGAAAAAATAAAAGGTATTGCTAACACTTTTATTTTAAAATTTGATACCTTTCCAAGAAACATAACACCAAAGTTATCATCAATCTAAGAAGCCCCATCTACAAAATACTACTTTTAATAAAAAAATTGATCCTAGAAACTAATCATTTCCAAAGGAACAGATACAACATTTTATGAGACTATTTACTTAAAATAGCTATATTTAAAATATCAAGGTGGATAATCTTTATTCTAGTTATTGCTAGTCCAAAATGGACTACCAATATAAGAACAGGAATCAGATTACTACTTTCCAAAGATACACATAATAGCTTTAATCTCTACAACAGGAAAATATCATTAGTATAACTTTATTTCTTCTACAGAGGACATGGACATCTGAATGCCCTGCATGCAGCCTCCCTGTATTCGTAGATTGTGCCTCCAAAATTCATCAGCAAAAGAGCTGATTTTTTTTGTGCATGTGATTTCTTCTCAGAAGATAAGATGAAAAATGTCTTGGTAGTCCCTGACCACACCAATCCCATTCTTAAAACAACCAAGCCCTCTAAAATGGTCCAAAATGTCACTCAAAATTGGCCACTCTACTACTAAAAGTAATAAACTTGATATCAGGCTATTTGGGAGACAATTAGGAGCTTTCTAAGGGATGAAAATGAAATAATTTGCTTTACAGAGACTTTATGCTCCAATTCTCACTCTTAAAATGTAAATCCCCAAAAGTGGGTCATACACCATCAGCTCTGCTCCTTTCTCTTTACCACCACTCTTCTGGTATCATTTGTGGCCTTCATCGTGTCATGAGAGCAAATGATAGCGTCTGTCCCAAGAAAAGTCACCAATTCCTGTTATGGTCAATACTTACTTCAGAATAATGACTAAAGAGATAGTATAGAACATGTCAGAAATTTTTTTAAAGAAAATAGTGTTGTGGTACAAAATATCTAAAGGAAACTAAATTGGAGGAAAAAAGGCTGACTTCTAGTTGTCCAGGTGCAAAATGAATAATCCCCCTCTATGCTGACCACAGTACTTGCACATAACAATTCAAATCTACAGCCAGAAAACTTGGGGGAGGGGGAAACTCTATGGCATTATCAAAACACAGAATCTTTACAATAGATGGAAATGTATAACCAAATTACACAAATATACACACTATACAAATAACAGGCTGAATCTTAAACAAATTGAATAAATTGACTTGAACTATAAAGAAAAATACCAGTAATGGGATCTTCCGAAATTTAGCCACATCTTTCGATTTAACAAATTCACAAGGTGGTAATAATGTCTGCCAGCTAAGTTTATCTCTGAGTCTCAAAATATGCAAGATGGCATCATCATTAATGGGACCTAGAACAGAACATAAACCAATCAGCATATACTATAAGCATGAGCTAGGTAACTCCCCAAAGTTATACTTAAATTTCATGAATATTAATTAATTTCAACAAATTATGATATTATAAGTTATTATACTGTACAACACAAATGCTTCCCCCCTCAAAACAAAACTGAACACATAATTTCTAATATCATTCTTTAAAACAAACTGTAATACATATTAATCTCTTTTCTTTATTTGGAAAACATAGAAACCAGATAGCTAAAAGGAGAAACAAGTATTTCTAGCTCTCATAATGAAGAGGAGAAAGGTGAAGGAGACTGCATTAATTTTGTTGACCTCAGTTGTATCACATAACTTAGCATAAAATCTGAAAGTAACCATTAGGTTATGTCAATATAGGAATGTAATATAGTGACTTTTGATCTTCAGATATATGTTTAAATATCAAAGTGTATGTGTGAATTTCATCATAGTCAAATTATTAAGAATTTTGAAGTAATCCGTTCTTCAGCTATGGATAAGGAAAATATTTCCATCCTATGCCATTCTGGAGATGGGGTGAAGATCTTAATCAAGTAGCTGGAGGCTGTGAGAATTTGAAAGGATGAAATAGACTTGGAAGGAATACTAACAAGAAAAAAATCCAATTTATTCAGGAACCTTCTAGTACCAAGATAATTCAATATTTAGTTCTGAATAAGATAGCATTCCATCTCAAGGAGCTGATGCACAATTTGGGATCCTTCCTGGACTCCCAGATCTTGATAAGCAGCATATATTCCGATCCTTTGGGCAGCTGATTTACCAGTTGTGGACATTCCTAGCGTAGAAGATTCTTAAACCTTATGGCTTGAGCCCTTGTTAACTTTGATATTATCTACACCAGATGGAATAAGCCTGCCCAATATAAGCAGGCTGAGAGTGCACACTGAAGATTCCCAGCAAGTAATGAAAATGTCAACCAGTTATATCTTGCTCATCGTGAAATATTTAGGTCATTCAGGAAAGTAACAAAGATTGAGCTTTCAGAAATCTTTGCAAAGGAGTGCAACACAAGTTTGAAAGCATATATAGTGAGCTGAATGATCAGTTGACCAAGCATTAGGTGGTTGCTATTTTATTATTGTAATTTTATGCATTTTTAAAAATATCTTATAATTCTAAGTGCACCTATATGAAATTTGATGTAGTAAAGGTGCTGGCCCAGAGGTCAGGAGACTGAGTTCTAGGCCTCTTTTAGGCATGAAAACCAGTTGAGTGACTTTGAGCCAATTACTCTTTCTCCGCCTAACCCACCCACATAGCTGTTCTGGGGAAAATAGGATGCAGGAATATTAGGTATATTTGCCACCTTAAATTGAAGCATACAAAAAAGATGGGATACAATAATAATAAGCCCCCAATGAGGCACTACTTTTATGTGGTTGTAGTGCTTGTGTGCTCTGAGGAAGATGAGAGCTATACAAAAAGTTTAACCGTACTGGAAAGTTCTCACCAGAGGAGCCAGATGAAGAGTATCTCTCCATAAAAATATGGTGAGACATAATTTACAGAAACCTATAATGGCTCAGTCATCAACTGGTCAACAAGAATTATGCTAGCTGTTGAAGTTCCTGGACATTTGGTGAAAAATGGGCTATAGGACTCGGGACTGTAGCTGAGCAACCAGGACCAGCAGTTGCAGAACTACTGGAAGAAAAGATGATTACTTATTGTAAATATACAGAAATTGCAAAACAAAGAAATAATGATCTATTATTACAGATCAAGTCCAACAAGAAGAGGATATTTGAAATTAATGCATCAGTTCTGTAAAGAACAACATCCAGAATCAGAAATAACAGAAAAGAGGCTAGTAGATCAACATCAATTTATAATATGAAATAAAGTATTCACAGAAGCATACCTGGAAGAATTGCAAAAATCTACTCAGGGCAAAGAAATCAAAGCCTTGCTAGAAATAACTCAAACTGCAGAGGCAAAGCTTGGAGAGTTGGCAGTAGAGGAAACATAGATATAGATTTGTTTTCATTCTGAAACCAGGCACTCTCTACTCTGCCTCAAAAAGAACAAATCCCTATAACTAAAGAAGTAAAAGAGTTGAAACGAAGAATAACTGAGCATCTAGAACAGCACAAAACAGTAGAATAAGGTTGACTGCTTTAAAGCTTATTCCAAAGAAACAGCTATCACAAGCATTGAATGATGTAAATACTGTAATATCAAATATAAGCACCAGCTTATTGCAAGAAACAAACCAACTAATGTACAATACCAGCTATTATAACTGAATACCTGGAATGCAAAATCAACCAAGCAGAAAAAATGCCAAACAATGCATCATGAAAATGGAAAATCAAGTTGGAAAATAAGATTGGCAAGCTGAGATCAGATGCAAGCAACCTAAAACAAATGAAAGGAAAGAAGCTGAAGAACAAGGAGACCAAAGAATGCCTAATCGAGAAATATCACCTAGAACAGTGATGGCGAACCTTTTAGAGACTGAGTGCCCAAACTGCAACCCAAAACCCACTTATGCATCGTCGGGTGCCGGGTGGGTGTGGCCCATTGGCTGGGTGTGGCCAATTGTGTGGGTGTGGACCATTGTGTGGGCGTGGCTGCGGTGGTAACGGCAGACTGGGTGGGACTAAAAAGTTCAATCAATCAATTCCAACTTTGCAAGATCTTTTTTTCCCACGAGTAGTTGAAATTTACTGATTGATTGAACCTTTTTGTTTTTTGCACACGGCGCTGGAGGCCTAAAGCGAAAAGGTTTTATAAAACCCAGCTGAAGGCCTAGGACTGGGGCAATGGCGCGCGTGCCCACAGAGAGGGCTCTGAGTGCCGCCTCTGGCACCCGTGCCATAGGTTCGCCACCACTGACCTAGAAACAAGGAAGATTGAGGAAGCACTGGAAATAATAAAGCAGCAAATTATAGTCAAGAAGATCAACAGATATGAAACTCAAATTGCAAATTATAGGCAGAATCTCCAATTTCATTCAATCAGAAACATTTCTACCAATCCATCAATGGAGAGAATGCAGTGAAGTAAATACCTGGCAAGAAGAAACAGTGCAGTTCTAGGTGCAGATATGGGATAACCCAGAAAAATATAGCAAGAATTCAGCTTAGTTAAAGGAGGTGGATAAGAATAATGAAGAGGCTGAAATGAAAGATCTTGTGATAACAGCAAAAATAGTGGAAAAAAGAACAAGGAAGATGAAGAATTGGTCAGCACTAGGTAAGGATGAACTGCATGGTTTTTGGTTGAAACATCTAACTGGTCTACACTCACTGGTTGCCAAGCAATTTAACTGCAATGAATGAAATTGAAGAGTGGCTAACATCTGGAAAAACCTATCCAATAATAAAAGATTTAGCCAAAGAGGCAGCATCAGGCAACTACAGACCAACTGCCTGCTTACTAACAACTTTCAAATTACAAGCCGGTGTGTTAGTTGAATTCAACAGCATCTAGTTGAAAACAAGCATCTAGAAACAAAGTTATAACTAGAAGCCAACATGGATTTGTTAAAAAACAGATCATGCCAAACCAATCTTATTTCGTTCTTTGACTTCAGCAAGGCATTTGACAAAGTAGACAATAACCTACTTTCTTGGTAAGCTAGAAAAATGTGGGATAGACAGCATCACCACCGGTTGAATTCATAACTAACTTAAACCATACTCATCAAGTAGTCCTTAATGGTACTACATCTGCATGGAGAGAAGTAAGCAGTGGGATACCACAAGGTTTCGTCTTAGGTCCAGTACTCTTCAATATCTTTATAAATGACTTAGATAGAAGGGGAACTCCTCAAATTTGCAGATGACACTAATCTGGCAGGAATAGCCAACACCCCAGAAGACAAGCTCCGGATAGAAAAATATCTCGACAGACATGAACAATGGGTCCTATCCAACAACATGAAATTTAATGTGGAGAAAAGCAAAGTTTTACATATAGGCAGGAAAAACCAAAGGTACAAGTACAGATTAGGCGAAACCTGGCTCAAAAACAATAACTCTGAGAGGATCTTGGAATCCTAGTGAACGATCACTTAAACATGAGCCAGCAGTGTGTGGCATCAGCCAAAAAACTAATACAATCCTTAGCTGTATAAACAGAGGCATAGAATCAAAATCACATGAAGTATTTAATACACTTTATAAATCCTTAGTAAGATCACACGTGGAATGCTGCATCCAGTTTTGGTTACCACATTACAAAAAGATGTTGAGACTTTGGAAAAGGTGCAAAGAAGAGCAACTAAGATGATTAAAGGCTTGGAGACAAAAACATATGAAGAACAGTTGAAGGAATTGTGTATGGCTAGTTTAGAGAAAAGAAGGACTAGGAGTGACATGATAGCAGTATTCCAGTATTTGAGAGGCTGCCACAAAGAAGAGGGGGTTAACTTATTTTCCAAAGTACCAGAGGGCAAGACAAGAAACAATGGATGAAAACTAATCAAAGAGAGGAGCAACTTGGAATTAAGGAGAAACTTCCTAACAATGAACAATTAACCAGTGCACTGAAGTTAGGATACCAGGAAGGTTTACTGAGTACTGGAGAGGTAAAATTGGCCTACAAGAAAAACAACATGAAGAATAGAAAAGCAACAAGGCAAGGCAAAGTACTACATGGCCAATACATAAAAAATAGCAGGCAATTAATAACAAGAGCTGGTAAGAGCTAAGAGCAAGAAAGTTGAAGAAAGAGACATTGAGGCTAATTGTGGCTGCACAAAGTCAAACCTTAAGTACAAATGCATACAAAGCCAGAATTGAGAAGACAGCAACAGACAGCAAATACCACTTCTGCAAAGAAGTTGAAGAAACAGTGGACAACCTGGTTAGCTAATGCAAGAAGATAACACAAACTGACCAGAAACAAAGTAGCAACAACGGTGCACTGTAAGATCTGCAAGAAATATCATTTACCTGCAAGCAAGAAGTGATGGGACCATAAAATAGAAAAGAAAGAAAAGAAAATGAAGAAGCTAAAATGCCCTGGGAACTGTAGGATTTAAACAGATGGGCACCTGCCACATAACATTCCAGACTTAACAATTGTCGATAAGAAAAATAAAAATGCCTAGATAGTAGAGTTGGCAGTGCCTGGGGATAGCAGAATAGAAGAAAAAGAACTGGGGAAGATAACAAAATACAAAGACCTGCAAATAGAAATAGAACAACTGTATCAAAAGAAAGAAAAGATAGTACCAAGAGTAAGAGGCCCCTTGGGTGCAATCCCAAGACAACCAGACACTTGCACACCATCAGCATTGACAAAATAACCATCAATTGCACAAGGCAATTACTTGGAACAGTTTACATCCTGTGATGACATCTTTAACATCATCAAACATCAATATCTGCCCATCCCAGGTCCTTGAGGTTTTGATAGGTGGTTGACTGTGCAATAAACCACAACATTTTTAATTGATTATGTACTATAAACTTATTTTCAACTCCTTGTGACCACACATATAGAATTTAATAACAAGGATAAAAACTAGAATAATATGTATCTCTCATAAGTGACATTTTTAATATTACTGGCTTCAGCATACTTGGCTTTTGATGTACGTACCAGTTTTATCATATGAAGGAGACTTTCTCACCCTGAAAGGTTTGTGTTCACCACCAAATTGAAATTTCATGCAAGTCCTTGTATGGCAACTTAGCTGTGCTGAAATAGCTTGACTCTCTGTCTTTTTATTATCATCATCTGTAACAGAAAGCCAATATAATTTCATAATCATTGTGCTAAGCCAAAGACTAGCAAATATTTGTTATCTAAAATCATTATCAGTCTTGCATTTAATATTCTCTTTGTTATGTGGGGTAGAATCTAATACTATTATCTTTTAGCATAAAACCACAATCTTTATTGAAACATATGGCTTATGCACAAATAGTTTGACACAATTATTGTACCTAGTGAGCAACAAATCATTTGATAAACAGTTTCCCAGATAGTTATAGCAGTGGTTTCAGAAGGTTTTGCACAATTTATTAGGACCCAAGAGTTCCTTGCACCAATTTTAGTATTTTATCCTCTTAATCCTGTTTTTTCATCTATTTTATGTTATCTGCTTCTCTTCTATTTTACTTTCTTTCTCATCTGATATCCAAATCCAGAACACAATTTGTGACAGAATAACTCCAAACACCTCTGATTCTGTAGACCTGGACAAAATTGTCCACTTTTTCACATGCATTATACGGGCTGCCCTTGAAGAGCATCTGAAACTGGCTCAAAATGAAGCTGAAGGGGCAGTTATACATGCTCCTCAATCAGCATATATTACACTATTGCTCCATGAACTGTATTAGTTGATGGTGCTTCTAAATTCAAGATGCTGGAAGTTACCTATAAAACCATTCATGGGGCTTGGTAAACTGTCTGTCCCTCTGTGTGTCTACCCACTCTGTTATAACTGGCAGGAGAGGCATGTTTCAAGTCTTCCCTATTAAAAAGGAGCCGCCTAGCCAGGATCCCAAAAATCTTTTCTGTCCCCGTATCGGGCCTGAGGAACATCACCAACAGATTGTCCTCAACTCTCTAGGCCTTTAAGACTTGGTTCTGTCATCAGGCATAGGAGTTAGCATGCATGGCGGAAGTCCATGGACTGGTTGACAATTGTGGTGTTTTTTATCTCAGCTGCCAATTTGCATTTTATTTTGTGATACTGTATTTTTAATAGTTGTTACACACTTAAATTTGGGCAGTTAATAAATTTATGCTAATTAATTCTTAATAATAATGTTGAGATGGATGGCCATATACTTTGAAATAAATAAAATCACAAGCAACAAGTTGATAGACAAAGGATAAAGAAACGGAAGAATACCAAACTTTTTTCAAGAAAAAAACCTCAAAAAACCAAAACCCACACAAATGGAATAATAATCTACTTGTGGAAAAGTCATTTCTCCTAAATAACTTGTGTCCTGCATCAAGATAATTAGAGTTATTTACTAATGAGGCAGGAGTGGGAATATGTTTATCTTTAAAAGCCTCATCTTCCCAGATGCTGGAAGGACAGCAAAACAACTAGTCCAGCAGTCAAATCTATCGCTCAACTTTATACCGTGTTTCCCAAAAATAAGATCTGGTTTTATTTTTATTTTTTTGCCTCCAAAAGAGGCACCAGGTCTTATTTTTGTGGGGTGGCTTTTCCACTCACCTTGCCACGGCGGCACCAGTAGCCCTGCCCAGCTGGCCCACTTCTGCGGCTGAAGGAGCAGCTTCATTCTGCAGCTGAGAATGGAACTCCAGCCTGCATTTTGAAGTCAAAGACCTTTCCAGAAGGCCTCTGATTGTGAAATGCAGGCCAGGGGATGCCTCACCCCCAAACTAGGGCTTATATTTGGGGTAGGTCTTACTTTCAGGAAAACATGGTATTACTAAATTGCATATGTTTGAATTTTTTGTATCAATTCACTGTCAACTAATGGTAATCTAGATTTTTTCAGCCCATATAAATAGTATGGGGGGGGGAAGAGAGAGGGGGATCTAAATGGCACGAAGAAGGTACTTCACTTTAGCCTTTTTATAAAACAAAAGCCCACACTATGGAAAATTATTAATTTGTTTAGAATACTTTACTCAATGGAATAAATATTTTTGGGTTAATTGGCAATCTCAGGGGTAGAAAATTCTGATTTAATATAATTATTGTTAGTTATAATTATAAAGGCAATAAGATGGCAGGACATTTTCTGTCTCTTTACTGCTCCTGACTGATTACCTTGAGTTTTGCAATCCGTATCTGATACTCCTATAATTTATGCTCTTACACACTCATTTTAAAATTTGGCAGAACTGAAAGTGTGAGTGATAACATAAAATTGCTATTGTTCTGGACAGTCAGAAGTAACATATTATTATACAATGCAATATAATATAATATCTACATTATTTACATATTGCATTATCATATGGTATGGACAACCTACAAAAATGAAATTATATTAAAATTATAACATTTTTGGTCAAGAATAAATAAATATCTTTATAAAGGGACAGAGCCAGTTTTCCTTACAATTCCTTACTTATAACATCATAGGTGTTTATATAATTGAACCTAAGGAGTATAATTAATTTATAAGGATATAGATTGTACTCCATGGAGGTTTATGCCATCATAATTTTGTTAGTTCTTAAGCGGTCATAAGCATCTAAGTTGGGTCATTTAAGAATGGTTTGCTATCCCACCCAGACGAAATCATCTGTTATACTTTCCTTCATTTTCAACAGAAACATCACTAATAATATAATCAGATTTTTCACGAGAAGAAATTATAGGGAGTTTTTCTGTGCTTATTTTTTTCAAATTAAAATCTTCCAAACTCCTGGGCTGAGGCCATTGTATCATTTCAGCATGTCGGTCAACAATTCTGTCCTTACGTATTCTTGAGAAACTAAAAACGAAAAGAAACAAAACATTTAGATTATTCTAATCTTCATCAATAAGGTAAACATGATTTTGAACATGTTTATAATGCATGAACATGTTTATAATTCTTATAATGCAAATTATAAAGAGAGAAGATGGCAAGGAAGTAACAGGCAGTTGGGAGAAAGCAGAGCTGCTTAACTCATTCTTTGCACCGAGAAAGTACCTGAGAATTGGAAAAGGGCTGATATGGTTCTCATCTTCAAGAAAGGGAAAAAAAACAGACCCAGGAAACTACAGACCAATCAGTCTAACATAAATACCTGGAAAGATCCTGGAAAAGATAATCAAAAAAAGATCTGCGAACAGTGGGGTACCACAAGGCTCCATCGTAAGCCCAGTACTCTTCAATATCTTGATGAGAGAATAGAAGGGGAACTCATCAAATCTGCATATGACACTAAACTGGCAGGAATAGCCAACACCCCAGAAGACAAGCTCAGGATCCAAAAAGATCTTGACAAACTTGAACAATGGGTCTTATCCAACAAAATGAATTTTAATGGGGAGAAAAGCAAGGTTTTACATATAGGCAGGAAAAACCAAAGGTACAGATTAGGCGAAACCTGGCTCAAAAACAGTAACTCTGAGAGGGATCTTGGAATCCTAGTGGACGATCACTTAAACATGAGCCAGCAGTGTGTGGCAGCAGCCAAAAAACTAATACAATCCTTAGTTGTATAAACAGAGGCATAGATTCAAAATCACATGAAGTATTTAGTACACTTTATAAATCCTTAGTAAAATCACACATGGAATGCTGCATCCAGTTTTGGTCACCAAAATCCACTCTGGTCCACGTGTACAATATGACCTTACTCATGTTGCAGACTTCTATTCTGACTGAGATAAATGCATGTGTTTCTCTCAAGAGTATTTTCCCTTATGAAAAGAATAAGTGAATCTATTTAAAGTTATTTTTAAATAGAGCTGATCTAACTTGAGAATGTGAGCTATAAAATTAATTAATGCAATAGCAATATAAACTAAACCTAGAAGTAGTTATTAGAGTGTGATAAATGAGCAAGTCACTATTTAGGCTCATCCTGTTTAATCATCCTCTTGCCAAAGCCAGAAAAAGAAACTGGGAGAGATAGAGAGGGAAGGAAGAAGAGAAAACATGCCAGACAAGAATTACATAAAAGAAAAAACAGCAGGGGACTTCCGGTGGCAGGCGATTTCGCTGGTCGCAGCTGTTTGCTGCCTCCCGCCTGTTTTGCGTAAAAGCCGGTTTGACAGCCAGCATCAGCTGTCAAACGGCTTGATACCTTTCCCCTGGGCATAAGGGGATAGGTAAGCTGCCCGGGGTAGGAGTTGAGTTCCCGAGTCGTCCTATATGGACGATGTAGGCGAGAACTCCTCCGGAGCCCCGAGGATTCTCCGCGATCCAGGACGCCTTCGCTTCGGCGAAGCAAGAAGCCGCCGCCACCGCTGCAACTTGAAGTTAATTGTGAGTTTACTTGTAAGCAGACGAACCAACTTTGGAAGCTTGCTT